ATCGGCCACGCTCCATCCCAGGCCTCGGCCCTCGGTGCAAAATCTGCTTCAGGTCCACTCTTTCTTTCTGTGATACGTCGATCGCTGACAAGGCATTCTCATCGCGCACTGCTCCCGTAGGCATACGTTCTCGTGTGATTCGTGTCAAGTGCTAGGTGATTGTCGTGCTTTTCCGATTCGTGCTAGACTCTTCGGAGAAGGAAAGGTTTTGTGATAATCTTGTGCCTCGAAATCAACGTGCCGACCTATTGCCGAAGGAGCACTTGATGGGCCGCTATTGAACCTGTGAGTATGAGACGCGTCAGTGTTCAATTTGTACCTGCGAAGGACGCTGCTGTAAATTGTCGGGTACGAGTTAGGCAAGGATACGGTGCTGATCACGGTGACGTCATGTGGTTCCCCCCATCCCACCCCTGCCTTTTTTTTTTCCCCTCTCGCAAGTCAGGTGAATGTACTCGAACCACTTTGGACCCGATCGTTCGGAGACCCATTTGTCTTTGAACAAATTATCCTGGTTGCATGAAACCAAATAATTGTACTGGACTAATGTAACGTTTATAATTAGAGCTGAAAAGAGCAGGCCGAATGCCAAATGATTGCTCTGCGCCAGGCCTTTTGTGGGATGACGTAATTAGAGCGAATCCCCCCCAGCTGTAATTTCCGCTCTGTTGCTTTTTTCTCTCGCCCTTTTTTTGTTTCTTCTGACTTGGCCAGATTGGGCAGTGGTCATCCCCTCCATCGGCTTCCGCTATACCTGGGTCTTAACGAAAATAGCCGAGAGAGGGAAAGAAAGAGGGCTTCCGTGTCTTCTTATGCATATAGCAGCTGGTCGCTCTTTGTCTAGGCTTAACTCTCGTGATCGATGAGATCCCATCGCTTCTCGTTAGATAAGGAAGAAAAAAATTCTCGAAAATAAACTTTCGGATCGGGCGACGAGGATTATTTTCATGCCAGAGAGCTGAAAAGAGCAGGCCGAATGCCAAATGATTGCTCTGCGCCAGGCCTTTTGTGGGATGACGTAATTAGAGCGAATCCTCCCCAATTGCTTTCCGCCCGATGGGGGTAAACGCCTGCCTGTGTTGTACTGGAATGAGTACACGTTCGGTCTCTCTCTCTCTCTCTCTCTCCCTCTCTCTCCCTCCCTCCCCCTCTGTGTCTGTCAGTCTGTCTGTCAAGAGAGGTGCCACAAACCTGGACGATATAGGATATGGTAAAACTTTTATCATGGCCTGGAATTCGCTATTCTGTTTGCTGATATTCCCGTTTCCTGTCGCGGAGGGGTGCTTCGCCTTGGGTTCGGTGCCAAAGATAGCAACGTCTGGGGGTATCACGCCAACGGTGGGAGGGGAGGGGGGGGGGAGAGGCTCCGAAATGGGAGGAATCTTCATGACCGGCATTTTCGCATCGCGGTCCTAATCTCCGGAGCAGTCGTGCCATTGATAAGGGGTGATGGATAACGTGGTGCGTGAGAGGGCGCCGTCATGGTGTGTGCAGAATTCCCAGTCAGCTAGGGATTTCCTCTCTCCCTTTTTCCGGGATTGGAGTCCTCACTCGGTTGTCACGTATCGTGAGGTCACCCTTCGAGAGAAAGCAGTGACGTCTGACTCGAGGCGCTTCGGGCTGCTCTATGAGAACGAGGTGGGACATTTCGTTCGAAGCGCTCGGATTCCGCCGATGAGAAATTCGTGAGATTAAATACGAATAATAAATCTGCGTCGGGTTTCGCTGCATAGCAACCCTTTGAGTACGGTTTGTGATAGTATCAGGAATAAATGGCCAGCTCGCTCAGTGCGTCTGCCGAGCCCCCGCCATGGCTGGCGATCGATGCGACTCCCCCTCATATCGAAGTAGGTCTTTTCTTTGCGCATCTCCCCCGGACGTAGGTCCCCTCTTTCAATGCCAGGTAATCGCCATGACGAGGTTTATTTTGCTTCCTGCGCTCCTATTGTCTCCGCTCCCTGGCATGTGTAAGCATCTTATAAATCGCCTCGAAGGATCTTTCGCGAATGCGCGCAATTCGAATGGACGTGTTTGCTTCTGCTAGGAGTTCCTGCACTTGTCTACGTTGTCTCCGATCAAGATGAGAGGAGCTTCTGAGTAGTACTGTCGCTGTCGTCATGCCTGATTCAATTCTCCTCGTTCTCATCACGAATTGAAAAGAGCTATTTGAGGAGAGTGCCCTTAAGGGGCATAAGGGTGTTTTAAGAGTTCCTGGATGGTACTGCTGAGTCATGTTGTCTTCTGGCTTGGCTTCCTTCCCATTGCTGATAGAGATGTACCGACAGACTGACTTGATGGAGAAGGGGGGGGGGGTTGGCTGGTGCATATATTTCTCCGGCTGTGATGTGTCATTGCTGGATTGGTGTGAACCCCGTGAATGGGTGCTTTCGATGCAGCCGTCCTCTTCGTTCTGATAGAACGACCTGCGAGAACACTGCGTGATTCCGGATTTCCTCCCGATGGGAACCACTGATACTTATCAGCTTTTCGCAGGTCATCCGAGTAGTTCTTTTTTGTTTTGTTTGTCTATGCGTTTTTCGTTTTGTGCCTCCCCACCTCATTGTCGGTTTCCCCCGTTGCTTCCGACGAAGGGGTGCCATAGCACGTAATAAACTTACGGGGTGAACAGTTATATACTTTTAATGGTAGGCGGTTGCAGAGGGGAACAGGTCTTTTTATTTTCGTTCCTTGAATTCACTGTCGGTCACGAGGTAGGGAATTGTTAACTGCCCATTTTTCCATGCTCCCCCTCCTGTCATCTCTGGCACTAAACTTTTGACATAGTGCAGTATCCCTGATGTATATAGATGCATGGCGGGGTGGAACTCGTAAACATTAGACTTGCAGGCGGTTCGTCGACCTTGCTTTGCTTCACACGATTCCTTCCTCCTTGCTCGCCTGTCCATTGTTGCACCCAAGCATCCATCTTTCAAGTTCTCGCCTTTCAAGAAACTCTCCTCCCCATCCACAGGAAGTGTTTTAGACAATGAAACCCCCTCTGCCGCTTTGCATGAGCTCATCGATTTTTGACGCACTGCTCGGCGCTAGTTCAGTTCATCCTTTCAGGAGCCCCCCGTTTCTGTTCTACAGAGGCTTTTTTTGCCGTCGATCAGTGACTGAGGGCGCTGAAAATTTCCTTTAGGATTCAGACGGGTCACGGTTGTCAGCACCATATGTATAGCACTGCCAGCCAAGAGAGGAAAGATTGTCTGGTTCCTCGTCTCGTTGAACGCCTGATTGGACCCTGTGCCCACCGCAAACCCTTTCCTTTTTTTTTCTGGCAGGGACTCTGTTTCTCTTTCTAGCCTAAGGCACATTTCTGGGCTTTAGACCAGTGCAGTTACGCTGCATGCCTCGCTGCTGACGCATCCATTTTTCTTTTTTCTTTCGTTTTTCCTTCGTTTGAAACGTTTACTATTCGGAGGGTTTTTTTTCCTTCATTCGCGTGAGAGTGCGAATTGCCTTAGCATTGTATGAATGAAATCGTGCTCTTACATGGGAATCGGGGCTTGCCGTAATCTTACGACCATTCAGGCTGGTTGAGTGATATAGTGTGACTTGAAATTCTCGAAGATAGACATGACGAAAGTCGAATTACACCCTTAGTCCTGCAGGAATTGATGCGGTGAGCTACCGATCTCTAAAAAATATTCCTTGATTGCTCGTGATAGCGACGACGACATCATTGCATCTGATTCTGATGCCAGGAGTTGAGGGTCATATGTGCACGAAGAAGAGAGGCTCGTAGACTTAGAGCTAATTTTAAACCCGGAGTTCCTGGCATGAGGCCAGCGGTTCCCAACAAACACCCGACGCTCTCGTTCTCTTAGAGGGCCTACTGTATAGTCCTGTGCATGTGCCGGGATGGGCATGGGAATGAACATTGGTTGCGATGCGATGTGCGTGTGGGGGAATCCCTCCCTTCTCCCTCCTTCTGTCCTTGGCTCGGCATGACTATGGATGGATGGAGAACAACACGAGATTAAAGCTGGCAGGCCTCGCGTAAGCCGTGGGGTGAGATCAGAAATATGCAGCTTCCAACGCATTCCTTCTTCCTTATGGGGAGATCGTAGGGGAGGACGTGACACACCCGATGCAGATGTTCCCTCTTCTCAACGACCGGAAGTGTCTCGTCTGTATTTCCCACCCTTTGCCCCACCTTCGTCCGGGATTGGCAGCGATCTCGAGTCCTGTCCCAGATATTGACTTTCTTTTTACTTACGGTTCCAGGAGTTGACAAGCTTGCGTCGAGGATGTATGAGAAATATGTTGACTCTGCATTCTACCGACGGGAGGTCGTTCCACCTTGCCTTTCGATAGGAATGACAAGCTAACTTATAGAACCGGTAGTTCTATTGACTCCGTTGCAAAAAGAAGTCGAGCATGCAGGGCATTGTACTCTCGGCGAGGGTTTACTTACACGACTATTGACTCAGTAACGAGTGCTATTTCACGTTGAACGCCTGAGCTGGGCTCTCCTGTTGGATGAGCTAGCAATTTAGAGTATCGGAACACTGCCGTTGGCTTGAATGGTCGTCATCAATGCGGTGAGCCGCGCTCCCGCACTAAGATTGGCTTCTCTTGAGGACTGCCGAATGGATGGCTCGAACGAACGGCAGGAATTTTCTTTGTCCTTTAGATTATCTGTTTGCAAGATTCTGCTGGCGGCTGGTTTAGATAAGGGGCGTGTACCGAGTCAGGCTGTGCGGTGAAAGTTTTATCTCCGGAGGTTGCGACTTCAGCCTAAGCTAGTCGCAATCGCGTTTGTATAACCGGCGGTGCCGTAAATTTAGCAGCGAGCAATGGGTCTTCCCCTTTCCTGAATAAGTCCATAAAGGAATGAAAGGCAGGAGGAAGGACGAGAGGGAAAGCCATCAGTTGAGACCGTCACTCCTAGTATGGCCTCAGATGGCACTCCCACCGACGAAGCGAGGGAGAGAGAGTGAGAGCTAGAGCGTCAGCGTCGTGCAAGCGGGTGCAGCCTGCTTGGTAAGATCGGGATGCCATGCAAGCGGGGTTCGTTCGCTGGCTCGGTCGATGACGGCGTAGGCGCAGACTGAAAAAATTTCGTCTCTCTACTCATCCATAATGGTTCCTCTTTTTACATATTCATAACGGCGTGTTCTCTTTGATGTTACAGGAGATTCTATCCGTGACATGCTCGAGGAGGGTGGAGTGACAATGAACGGGCCAAACTCGGAGAATCCGCCAGATTACGGTATGGATGAAGACGAGGAGACGAAGCGAATGAAAATGAGGCCACCCGATATCGACGCCGTAAGCCCGCTTTCATCTTGCACCCTCCCAAAGCTTTTTTGTCTTCTCCGGGCGCTAAATAGATACCTTTGCAGAAATTCTGATCAATGATCACAGGAAATATAAGAAAATGTAGAAGGATCCAGGCGTTCTAATTTTTTTTGTATTGGGTGGTAGTATATCACTCTCAGTAAATACGACACGAATTTCCTTCAAGCCTGTGATGATCTCAGAGGAGAGATTGAGATGGTGAATTGCTGAGACCAAGAACTTATGATTGGATTGCGCATCTTGTTTTCACCCAGGATGTGAGGGAGATGGAACGACGAAAACGAGTCGACTTGATCATGAACAGCCGAGCCTTTCGTGACGAGCTTGAGAGGATAATTGAAGAGCAAATAAAGGAGGGCTATACGCCTGCCTCCCTCGTGGCTTTGCAACAGCTCTATGATCTCTCGGCGCTTCCGGGGAGATTCGGAGCCATGTCCACTGGAAGATGTAGGTCTACGACCTCCCCCCCCCCTGTGCCTCCGTCGGCATTTGTTCCCGTCTTATCATAGAAGAATGAGGTTCATTGAAAATTTATGAATTGCAGCAGGTGGAGCTGGTTCCATAATCCCGATCGCAGACATTCGAGGCATTGATTGCTTTTCCTATGCCAAAGGAGAAAAGCTTCTAAGATGCAAGCTAGCATCAGTGTACAGGCTGGTTGACCTTTTCGGGTGGTCACAAGGCATCTATAATCACATCACAGTATGTTAAATGATGCTGGATTGGTGCAGTTTTAAGTTTTTGATGCTTACATGAATGCATTTTGTCTCATCTCTTAGCTGCGCACAAGTCAAGATCAGGAGCATTTCTTGATCAACCCCTTTGGATTGCAATACCATGAAGTCACTGCATCCAGTCTTGTGAAAGTGGACATGCAAGGCAATGTAATTGATCCTGGTACAACCAACTTTGGTATCAACTTGGCTGGGTTCATGTTGCACTCATCCATTCATGCTGCTCGTCCTGATATCAAATGCATTCTTCACTTGCATACCCCATCTGTTGTTGCTGTAAGTACCTAAACTCCTTCTTCAAGGTAAGGCAGAGGTGGTTTCATTGTAGTTTTTGCAAATCTACTAATGGTATTTACAAGATTTGGAAATGCAGATTCTAAGTCTAGATATTCCTCAATTATCTCTAGTAGCAACATGAGATGGCTTGAGAAATGAGATGAGAGTCTTTGAAACTGCTCATTCCTTAAGGAATCATTTCCTTATTCCATAATTGTAGGGCTTGAGTAAAATTTAAGAACCGAATCCATTGAAGTTGAGGTCTCCAAAAGTCTTTGGATTACCTGGCAAGATTGGCAGTAACTGGCTAGAGTAAGTTACCCACAAATTTAGGAAACTTATTTTTCTTAAACTATGCAGTTGGTACTGAATGGTCTCTATCTTGAATTTGTTTATGTGTCTGGAACCATGTGGTACTAGGGAAGTTCTTCTTAGAAATATTTCATTGCTGGCAAAATGTCATCCTGCCTGGTCTGGAATTGTGTTCTTTTGGGCCGTAGTCTAGTTAGAGCCTAAATTACAGATGAGTGGGGAGCTTCCATAAATAATGAATGCCTAGACATCTGTTTTTTGGATGTGCTTGGATCCATGAAGGGAAAAGACGAAGTTAATCCATGACTTATGAAATCTTGTTACTCTGGCTTCAGAAATTTTATTTCCTCATGTGGATTGCTTTTTTTCCTATTTTCATATATTTTCAACCTGTCCACTTAGGTTTCTTCATTGAAGTGTGGCCTACTGCCTGTGAGTCAGGAGGCTTGCTTGGTTGGTGATGTGAGCTACCATGAATACCAGGGTTTGGTAGTGGATCCCTCAGAGAAGGAATCCATAGCCAGGGATCTTGGCCCTGTCAATAAGGTGAGTCAAATAGTTCTTTTTTCTATTTTTCCCATTTCAACTAATATGCATCTTATGAAGTACACATGACCATATGACCATGACCACATGAAGTATGAAGTAACTGTAATTGTGTTAGATTTTTATTTTGTTTCTTGTAAGATTTTAGAGTGTTTCTTCTGATTGCTTCAGAATCTAGTCTGCTCTTCTTTGCCTTCCTAATCTTGTATTGACTTGTTATTTAGTGAAATTCTCAAGTCATTCATATTTTCAAAGAAGGTTTGAAAGGAAATATTAAAAAATTTAATTCAATGAATTGTGGGCTGGTTATTCAAGTACTTGAACTACTATCAGCCTATACTTATCTCTCTATGTGTAGATCACTAAACTTAGACCCTACTGGGTGCAGAGTTTGAGCTCATATAGCTCCTGGATTTCACTCACCCACCAAACCTGGTCAACTGCTTTGACAGCCTGTCCACAGCCTAGACTTCAATATTCTGTATTGCTAGGTCTTGGAACTGAATTGCAGAATAATTTTTCTGATGAATATGTGTTGAAATCATATGTGACAACAGTTAAATACAGTTAAAATTCCTGTCTGTCTTGCTCAGCAAATGAAAAGACAATTTCTGTCTCATTATAGACAGTGATGATGACTACCTTTCACAGTGTGCAACTTTCATTCCTTTATTGTTCACTGTTCTCGTTATGTATCCATGCAACAAAGTCTTTTTAGATTGTCCAAAGGGCAATTTATTAGTCACAAGCAGCCTGCAGCCACTACACTGGCTGTCTAATGGGCAGTTCTTTTCAAACCAAACATTAACAATTTTTGAACAAGCCTCAAGAAGTTTGAAAGTGTTGCTTATTACCCAGCTAATTTTATTGTTATCAAGACCACACCTCACAATTCACAAATAAAGGAATGAATCATGAATGGAAAAGACCATTTCAAATTCGAAATTTGACAAATGAGGATAACTAAATTATTATTAAAGTTTTTGTGGCCTAGCCTAGTGCATAGAATGCCATAGCCTTGTAGGTCTTGCATGATGAGTGGATGGCTGTTGATGAGTGACAACCATTCACCGCCACTTTTGGCCTCTTTCAATTTTTATGGCCCAGAATGGTAATGCCTTGTAGGCCTGGTGCTTTAGGCCATGGATGGCCTGGCCTATGGCCTAGAATGGCATTGTATTGTAGGCCTTACACATTGGGGTTGACAGCCGCCACAACTTTCGGCCTCTCAATTCAAGTATTAGATTGTTAGAATTAGAATTTTGTTAAAAGTAAATTATTGATTTATCTGCTCTGGCTGCTCTAATTTAAGTTATACTGGTACCTGAAATCATGTGACCATCTGTGTTACATGACATATGACTTGTTATAATCTGAGTTAGTGGCTATCTAGTGTCTGAAATGAACCCATTTTGTCTTCCCATAGGTTATGCTTCTGAGGAATCATGGAGCTGTGTGTTGTGGTGAGAGTGTAGAAGAGGCCTTCTACAATACCTATCACCTTGTTCTGGCATGTGATTCTCAGGTAAGTTATAACACATGAAAAAAAAAGAATGTTTATGACACTTGCTGTAATTACTTCATGGTACCAGATAGGAATTCATTATGCTTACAATATGAATGCAGCATTATACTTATTCAACCTTTTATTGTGGCAATCCAGTATATCAGACAGTAGCAAGCTGTGCCAGCAGTGTGACTGTCACAGCCAAATGATGTACTAAATCTGCCTGCCAAATGATATAGGCAAAATGATATATGGAAGGTGTTTTGTATCATTGACCTCTGAATCATTTTTAAATTGTTACAACAGGGAGTGTGCTAAAAAAAAATTCAGAACAGGCAGGGAGCCTGGATATTTAAAACTCAGCTGTTAAAGGGTTAAAGTTATTAATGCAATAAATAGAATATGCCTGTAAACTCAATTTATATGAAGGATTCATTAACTTCGTTTATTGCAACTATAGTTGAGTCACTGGGATTTTGGCGAGTTGGTCGTCAAGTTTGACTGGTCACCCCATTAGAGGTCATAAAATGTCAGCTAGCTGACAGTTCCCTTCCTTAAACTACAGCTCAGAAAAACTGGGTTGCCACAGGCAGTTTTTCTTCACAAGGACAGCAGGAATGGTTAATGTAAAATGTAACGCCATTCCACGCATCCTCTGATGATGACTGAAGAGGATTCACTAGGTAGAATAACGAGCCTGTCTGTCTTTCTTTTGACATATTTATCCAACTCCATATGCTGTTGAAGAGAAGACTCACAGGGCATCCTTGTCAGAATGTCATAATTAGATAGAAATAAACGTCTTTGATGGTAGGAGTTAATCTGCCAACAAAGGCCAGGGAGACCCTAAATGACTCATTCCTTTTCTTCTCCTTCCACTGCCCATATTCCAAGTGACTTGACCTTGCTTATGACCATTGTCATATTTTGCACTGCACTTCATACACAGTTGAAGTTGATGCCAGTTGGAGTGGAGAATTTGGTATTGATCTCAGAAGAGGCACAGAAGACTGCCTATGAGCAATCAAGAAGAACAGGAGGAGCAGGTGGAGTGGACAGCAATACAAGTAAAGCCGATTCATCCCTAAACACATCAGGTGAAGGAGGAACTGTGGCTGGGAGGAGAGAGAGGAAATGGCGAGTAGGGGAAATGGAATATGAGGCCCTCATGAGAATGCTTGACAATTCTGTTCGTTGCTTCCTTGATACTGTAATGTGGTTTTTGAGCTTTCTTGAGTTTCAGAATCCCTCATTTAATCTTTTTTGTTCAGGGTTATCGCACTGGGTACATGTACAAGCAGCCTCTTGTGAGAGCTGAACCCCACAGGCACAAGAGTGATGTTGAGGTCCCACCTTCATCATCTTCCTACACATATATTTTTGATGAGGAGGATTTATTCAAGTTCAGGTTAGTAATTCTCTTTGTCACTATGATTTGCCTTTAATATATAACAACTGGAAATGAAGTATTTGATTTCTTCATGTTACATAGTCCACTGAAGAAAATCCTAGAGGGGCGGAAGAACGCTGATCGGAGTCGATGGTTGAACTCCCCAAATGTGTACCAAAAAGTGGAGGTCCTGGAGACTGGGACAAATGACCCAAAGAAGATTACGAAGGTAGACCCTCCCAAGAAATAAGTTTTATTTTTTAAATGCACCTGCACCCATTCTTGCTCACATCTGCTTGTTAGTGGTAAATTCTCAAAATCTTGAAAATAATGATGTTTACATGTTTTTTTTTTTTTTTTTTTCAGTTTTCTTTGATTGCTCTAATGGTAGTTCATTGATTGCCATACATGACATAATTTGAAATTTTTTCCATGGCTGTTTAGATTCTTTCATGGTATGTCATGAAGATCTTTGCATGAGAGTGTATAGCCAAGCCTTAGCTCTTTTGTGTATGGTAAGCCATTTTGGTAAACTGTGAAAGAATTGTTCCTGGATATGCAGGGAAGAAATTAATTATTCCAACACTGTGACTCATTATGTGCAAGGAAGGGTGAACTTTGAATCATTCAGGGGGATCGTTTTTTCTATACTGAGGTTTGGTTATGTACCCTTGTGTCTGTGTTATTATTCATTACAAGTTACCTGCAGGTAATAGAGGGCCATGGGAAAGGTTTCATATTGTGAGGAATCACTCCAACCAAGAAGCTGTTAAGAAATTTATGAACAAAAAGCAATTAACAGTCTGTCCAAAATTAAAAGTGTTTCACCCAGCTGAAAGCTCTCTAGCACTATCATTGTGAATTCCAAGGTTGTTTCAGTCTCATTTAAAAGCCATGAACACATGGAGCTCTTCAGTTTCACTTCTGTATGACATTTAATTTGTATGATGATTTTTTCATTATATAAAACTCAATTGAAAATGTGGAAAGCATCATGATGGAAACATAGCTATCCATTTTCTCCAGTGACTTAAGAATGCTCTGAAGTGTCACTATGGGATCACCTTGGATTTTATTGCAACATCAGTACCCATTGCGCATAAGAAAACTGCTGTAAGGGATTGGCTTTTCTCATGGTTTGGAAACTGCTCAGTAAGATAATGTTGGATCTCATTGGGAATATTGTAATTTCCACTCAAACTCACAAAAATGGAATACCTGGTGATGCTGTTGTTAAATGTGATCTTAATGTAAATATATGCAATATATGCTCTCACGTGGATCTTGCTCTTGCTGGTGCTTAGATACTATACTCTAATTTCTTTGCTTTGATCAATGTTCTGATAAGACTTGCGATTGAGATGTGTTTTCCTCCATCCGCTTCTCTGCTTGCCAGCAGCTTGAGTGAGTGGGATTCCTAGTTAGGTTACCTCCTGGTAGCAGATGATCTTCCATCTCATTCTATATTGTCATAGTCAGGACTGATGTTTCTTCCATCCTAGAAAAAGGCTTCATATTCTGGTACCATTGACATACATGCTTATGATCTCATTCTCTGAGAGTGATTATACAACTGGAAGAGGCTAAGTAATATTGGCTTAATCCAAGAGTCTCTGGAGTGATAGCTGACATGCTGAAAACTTGTCCAGTGCTATTCTCTGGACATGTAGCTCTTTTTAAGCTTGAATCAACCTCTTGGGTCTATTCCTGTGCATTGATGCAGGCTTTGTTGTTTTGGTCATATTGGCATATGTAACACAGTCATCACTGTTGTGAATATAGTATGACCAAAATAATGTGCCTGATCTATAACCATGAAATTATTACATTTTCCTGCATTTACAGAAAATGAAGGGATCATTAAAATTCTTTGATGTTACTTACTGATCTTATTGGTAGCCTCCATGGTAAAAAGTGCAAAAGTTGCTAGCAGAGGCTTAAACAGATCTCTTTGGGTATCTTCACAGTTTTGCAGAACTCAGAATGAAATTTCAAGTATGCTACAGAGTTTTAACTGACGCTAAATTGAGATTTTTTGCATTATAACTTGGTGACCAGACAATAGCAAATTGTGAATGAGGTTTCATGCACTTTGTGATGCTTCTATCCATTTCTTGAGTGGATTTTTGCCTTGTAATTCGTAAGCTAATTCTAGGTTCACACTGTAAAATATCTCAAATTTTTAGTATGTATATGCTCTGCTGCACCACTTCATGCTATAAAGCAGGGGTGTCAAACTCAAATTGGTCGGCAGGCTGCATTCCTTACCCTGCAGGTGCCTGCAGGCCGTACCCATAATTTTTTTTTTGCCCCAATCTCAATCTAAACAGAAATTTCAAGAACAGATGGCAGGCCGGATGAACCACTTCCACGGGCCGGATCGGCCTGTGTGTTTGACACCCCTGCTATAAAAGCATGCAATGACACTTTTACACTATCACAAAAGGTAAAAAATTTCATGGAAATAGTACAGAAGTCTCTTCTGCTGAAGTCTAGAGTCCAGATTTAAAAAAAAAACTTATATTGGAATTAAATAACAAAATATTACATTGTGAAAACCCACCGAAGGAATGACATGTGATGTGATTGTTTTTATTTCCACTCTGGAGTGGTATACTTGGGATGTAGATGCATCTTGAGAGCACATGCTCTTCTTTGAGACCTTGTGATTGCTAGAAGGGACTAAACATAATTGTAATAATATTTTGGTTAGCTGGAAGCAAATTTCCATTGTCTCTCCTGTGAATGCATCTGCCTTTTACTCTATACGAGTTTTTCTTATTTTTAAGTTGGTTGCTGTATAGGAACAATATGAAACTTAATGTCTTGATATGTGCTTGATCTATGGTGTATTGTCTCCTCTGTCTTCTTTAACCCAGTCTTTCTCAAGTCAATGTAAAATGGGTTGTATGTATGCTTTGCTGGATTTGCACATCTAAGCTTTCATGCATTCTCATATCAGATAATAAAACCTCATGTTTTATCTGAATGCTTTTCTTGTACTTCCTTCCTCTTTCTGGACTGGGAAGAGTAGCCTGGATATGTTTTGTGTCTGTGTTTGTGTTTGGTCATCCAGCAATGCAGGCATTAGGGACTTCCCTTATTCACATTTTTTTTTTAAATGACCAATTCATTCTTCAATTGATTTTGATTGAGTCCCTAATGCTAAAATTGCTGATTGTTTATTATGGCTGTCGAAATTCCAATTGGTTGAGTCCCTAATGCTTGGCATTGTGTTGCAGTGGGTGGCAGAGAGTTCTCCAACCCACGGCACTCCTATTAAAGTGGAAGACCCACTTCAATTTGTACCCAAGAACACTGACCCTCGGGAGTTCCGTCACAAGCAGAGACAGGTATGTTGCTAGTGCTGAATTGAGTTTTTTTTAGAGTCAGTGGTGACTTCATTGTATCCCTTTCCCAGTTGATTCTCAGGCATACCTATGATTCAGCTAACCCATGCTATACACTATGCAGGGGCTCTTGAAGGGAAGGATATATAGAAAACATACGCAGTGTGGTGTTTCCACTACATCTTCTCCAAAGGATACAAACTGATGTGGCTGGGTGCCACTGAACCCTGAGAGAGAAATTCAGACAGGCTATGAGGCAAATGCATGCAGAAGAACTTTCTTTAGTCTGGATCACATATCACTAGAGCAAACTCTTGTATTTTAAAGTGAACAGTCCCTATGACTGATACTGCTTCCCAATAGAGTCTGGCTGTCCCCAACTGCCTTCCATCCTAGTGAAAGGAATCAGTCCAGTAGAACTGGACTTTGACTTTCTTTCATTTTAATGGTCACCACTGCATGCATTCATGATGAAAAGTGTTGGGAGCAATGAGAAAGATACTGATTGCATTGATTGCTCTCAATGTATCCTCTCAACTTTTATAACTGCATCAATGATTTCTGCCAGAAGAAGAAGGAACTCTTATGGGGTAGGTTTTGTAATTTGGAAAATTGCAGAAATCCATCCCAGAATGCGAAATTTTGATTGATTTGAGGAATACCTGCTAAGTCAAAATTTTATTTTCAATTTTGCATTAAATGGATGATTTAAAAAATCTCTGTGGCAATGGAGGCAGGATGAATGGATTGGGATGAAATTGAAGATGTTGTGTGAATATGAATGCCTGATAGGAAGGAAAAGGAAATCTTCTGTGCATGCCAGGAATGCCAGATTTAATTGCTCAAGGCTTCCCAACTCATTGGCTCAATCCTTTCACTTCTCCCTGTGTTCATCATCCCATGCCAATTGAATCCCTTGTGGTTGTGAATAAACATCATTGCATTGAAAAGTTATACTACTGATGAACCACCTCTTGCATGCCCTTGCACTTAATTTTCCTGGGAAGCGACCATGGGGCTTGGGTTTGGAGTTAAAAGAAACTTTCATGATTCAATCTAATCCTTGAGGATTCTTTATTTGTTGCTATAGAGTAAGATAAGATATTCCTGATACAGAAAGTTTAAGCCTAATATTTACCATTATGAAAAGTACAGGATGTTTTCAAGGAGTAGTGATCATTACAATGCTGCTTTTCTTTTTTTTTTTTGGAGAAGCTCTTTATCAAATGCAGGGTAGTTGTGTTACTTATTATTACAATAGAAGTAACATAGCTATTAGAAGTACTCACCTTTACAATAGTAAGGTTGAGTACTTCTAATAGTAAAATGGACTCTCACTGTTACTGTTACTCACTCTCACTAATACTGTTTATTCATTTTTCAAATTAAGAGCATTTTCTCTTCTTCGGTTTCAAATAACGAGCGTACTATATGAAACACTTTATATACCAGAAGTCATACCAGGAAAATTATTCTATCCTTATTCTCTTGAAGCAAAAAAAGAAAAAAAAAATCCAAAATCCTCTTTTTCCTTGCACAAAGCAATTAAAAGTGAGTTTCAGATTGCCTAATCCAGTCATGGTTTCAACTCAGAATATGTTACCTCTATCATGAATATTTATTGATGTACTGGCAATTTTTTTGCAAATAGATCAAAGAGAACAGGCGAGCAGGAGGTGTCTCTGCTGGTCCTCAATCAAATGTTTTGGAAGGAATTAGCTGGGAAGAGGCCAGAAAAATGCAGGTGAGCATCGGTCTAATTGGAGGTTGAAGCTTGAATGACAATATTCTCATAACATGCCAAACTGGATGTCATGGTAGGAGGGTGCTCTGAACACATCAGGGGACCAAGTTGTGATGGTTGGTGCAGCTTCTAAAGGAATCATTCAGCGAGGGTATCAGCACAATGCAGTAGTCTTTAGGGCTCCCTATGCAAAAAATCCATTTGACGCTGTGACGGACGAAGAGCTGGAGGAATACAGGCGTATTGTAGAAAGGAGGCAGAGGGGGGAACCCATTGAAGATGAAGATCCTGCCACAAACCAGGACTCTTCAATGGCATCTCAGCTTTCCCCTCCAACATCTCCTATTGGTATTGCTTATTTCATTTCATCCTCCCTTTGAAGGGCATTGAATAGGGTTTAGCACTACATATTGTTCATGAAATCAGAAAGGGAGCAAATTATGGAACAAGGGCTTATTGTAGATATCAATATGGTATGGTAATGGGCAGGGGCTGCATGGGTGAGGGTGTTTTATGAGCTTTCACCATGTAAAGTTTCCCTGGTGAAAATGAAGAACTTCAGCATGAAAGTAATGGGTTATTTACTAGGGCATGAGAATGATGGGGAACATGACTAATGTATGCCACTCCTCTTGTCTCTTTCAAGTAGAGGATACAACACCTCGTGTCCTCACTCTGGAAACTAAAGTGGCGCCTTCACCCGGGAGAGCGGAGAAGCAAATTCTCTCCTCTCAGGGTTAGTCTCATCTTCTCTCTTGCTATGGCATTGCCATGAACCTCTCTCTCTGAACTTTTTGCAATCACTTTCAAGTCATTGGGCAGCATGTCCACATGCATCCCATCTGTGAACCTTGAACCTTTGAATTTCACATTCTCAAGGCTAAATTAATGCAGCCACAGAATGACCTTGTGCAAGGAAACTGCATGCTTTTCTGTCATTTCTGTGATACCTAGGATCCTGAGTGTGGTATGAGGGTTTTGGTCACTTTGGCTTGGTGGTGCTAGACACAAGAACATTTTTTATTTGCATGGGTTGAAGAATTCTTCATTTTGGAAATTTGAGATTGAGCTGTTTTAGTCTGAAGCCAGCTTGGTGCATACAACACTCAGCATTTCCTTCCACATGAAAGAAGAGTCTTTAAGGCTGTCACTGTGACATTGCTAATGGGAAATGGTAACATTTCAGTGCATGCTGGATTTCACCTTTTTCTAATCTTCCTTCTTCTGGCATCTGTTTCTCTTTCTGCTTGCCCCATGCCAGATGAACCCCATGTCCAACATATGCCTAGTGTCAGTGAAGAGGACCCCCAAAACACAACAGATGGTGAGCAAATGACACAGCATCAACATTGGCGAATTAAAACCCTTATCCACAGAATTTTCCCTCCTATGGAATTGCTGCATGAGAAAGTGATCTTTCTATTCACAGGGGAAGTGACTATGAATGGTGATGATCATGATGGGAGAGTGTCCCACAGCAGCAAAGAAGTGAGTAGGCTCTTAACAAAGCATTAGTGAATTGATGCTTGCAGTCTTTACACTTGATTCTTGTCCTCTAGGGATCACCCAGCAAGGATGTTTCAACTACGGAGGAATCATCAAGAACAGAAAAGAAGAAGAAGAAGAAGGGGATTCGGACACCTTCCTTCCTGAAGAAGAAAAAAGACAAGAAGAAAGGAGCCGGGACTGAGGTCTAGGTGAGTGTCAAGCCTTTCAGTTCCCAGGTTTATTGTGCAATGCTTTCTTTTCTGATTGTGACATGGATGCTTTCTTCTGCAGTGCGTGACCCTGCTACCACTGCCAGAGACAGCGAGAGAGAGCCTGCCCAATGACATTATATGGATTCTGATGGGGATGAGTGAAATAGCCATAAAACAATGCCATTCTCCTTAACAACTTTGTTCCATGCCCTTGAGAAGTATCCCTGTAGGACTGCAAAAAATATGAAAGTCAGACCCCAAGAAGAGGAAAATCAGGGAATGTAATTCATCACTTGTGTGATGGGAACTGTTTTTCAATGGTGTGTGTGATTGAATTGGCTGTTTTTCATCAATGAACATTTGAGTGTCTCCTAGAGGTCTGGGGAGGGAAATTTCAAACATCCCCCCCAGAATTCATTTGCCGGTGAGCATGCTTCTCTTTCCACGCTTATCTTACCTTGGATCATTAAATTGTGAGGAAATAGGGAGTTCCTCAGTGTTCTTTCATCACACTCCAGTCCATAATTTCCACCTGTCATTGATAGGCTTGATTTTGGAACACTCCCTTCCCTTCCATTTCAATGATGTAGTCTGCAGTCTCTGAAGGCAGTTGCATATCAGCCTTCATTTTATAGGTATTCATGGCCTCTTAATATTCAGATATGATTTGCATAAAATCCATGGAATGATGGGCTACCACTTTTTCCCCTGCCCTTGTACAGGAAGCATGCTGGCTGTTGAAAGAAAGTAAAAAAGGCTTGTGCTTGCTTCCGTGGTTGAGGATGACTAGACTCATTCTCCTTTGCTTAAAGCAAAGTCAGTTAGTTGTTTTTTTTTATATCAAGTTTGCAGATAATTATGTGCAGATATTAGATTATTCTGGAGTCCAGGAATGATGGATGAATGCATCATTATGGCATTCGATGAAGGAATGTCTTGCTTGTGTCATGTTTCCTCAGTTTCTATCACCATGAAGTTTGTTGGAAAACTTCTCTTTGAGATGCAGTTTTCTTTTTTATATGCAGCTGAGAACAAATCATACTGTTTCTGCAGCAAGTTTCAAATTCTTGCCAATAATTTTTTTTTAATTTTCACCTAGATCAAATAGATGTAATTCCCAGATTGGTAATTCTCAGCTTTTTGTGTTGGTGCAGCTTTTTCCCTCTCTTTGAAGTGTGTGGTCTGAAGTGTGCAAATTGCTTCCTTGTGTATGTGTGGATGAGTCCAAGAATTCAAAAGGAAATTTTTTCTTCAAATTGTTTTATTTCTCCCATGAATGACACAGAGATGAATGTACTAGTCAGCCCTTAGTATACAACCACTCAGTATATTGACTCCTTTTCAACTTGCTCCTTCAATATAAGTCTTTCCTATAAACTTATCTATAAGCAATCCCCCCATTAAGCACCCCCACGTAAATCCCCCATAATTTTGCACCCCCATACCTGCTGCACTTTCATGAGATACATGTAGTCATCTAAACGTTTATTTTTCTCCTGATTGATAGGTAGTGAGACCATGAGAAATGCTTTATATCTGTGGTAAGTATTGTGCCTGGGAAAAGGGGGGCAAGATGACCTTCAGAGATTTCAATATCACAGCTGCTAGCACAATGCAGTTGATTCAATACAGCACCATCCTAACCCTTTCAGACCTGAATTTAAGCCATGATTGGAAAGATCAATAGAAGTTATGTTCTAGAGGATAGAGAAATGGGAAATATCATGCCAACACTACCTGGCAAAAAAAAAAAAAAAGGATTTGTTTAATTGGACTTTTAAAATCCTGAAACCTTTCAAGTGGCAAAGAAAGTTTTTAAAAGTTAATGACTTGAACTATAGAGATTTTCATGGATTTCTCAATACTATCACTTCTTTGCCCCTCCAACTCATCACATCCATAAGGGACTTGAGTGGGAGGAGCATTGTGAGGAAGGAGGAATGTCTTGAAAAAAGGGAAATGTTTAGTTTTAGGACTTGGTTAAGGGTTGCTAAAGGCAGACATAGTGCAGGTACAGCACCATTCCTAATAAAACATAAAAAGCAATGGGCAAAACACCCATCTGTCTTCATCATCCTCTTGAGACACCTGCAAGAGTTGCCATTGGATTGACACACTGCCCTAGGTTTGACAGGGTGATCTGTTGTGCATGGGTATTCTATTCTCTCACATCCATATGCCGTATGTAGCCTATACATTGGTATTGTCATCAGGTCACAAGATGTGAAGGTGCAGGTGGATTTAGTAATAATAAAAGAACAAGGAGACAGAAAGTTCTATGTGGACCAGGTGCAGTGTGCCCAAGTTAAATTGAGGGTTTATAAGTTTGATACTCTCCATTCCTAAATTCAACATAGGGATAGTCAAAATGAAAAGCAAGGTATTAGGATGAGCTGTGACTAGATACAGGGGTAAGCAATGAGTATGCATTGTTATGCATGAATTGTATGCAAAAAGAAATTGCTGGCTGCATGCTTTTAGGGGATTAATATATTTGGAGGAAATGTGAAGGGGAGTCAGGTATTGTCTGTGGTACATGCTATTTGGAAGAGAAGGTGAAAGGGAGGGCTCAGTTTTCCTAAAATATTCATGCAATTTCCTTGTTCCCTTCAAGGTGGCATTGTGACAGTATAAATATCTGAAAAGAATTTCCTTAACTGGCTCCTTGGTTTACAAAGACTGGATGAACTCAGGTATTGATAACAATAAAGTCTATTATGTCAGTAATTGGAGTTTCACCTCTCTGGGATGAATGTCTCATCTTCATAGACAAACAGCAAGGTTTTTCTCTAACCACTTCAGGTTTTATTGCAGGTGAAACATCATACCCTCCAAAAGATAGAAGATTCCATTCCTCAGCAACACTTGCAGACTTTATAAAATGGAGTAGCACCTTAGAATTCAATGTGGAATGGAAAGTAGGGATGATCAGAATACCTGTCAAAGAGGACATGAAAAAAAAATTAAAGGCAAGCATGAGATAGAATTCACCTCCCCCATTTCAAAGGGTTCATGGATCTTACCAACTGACATGACAAATACGCCCCTTCCCTCCCTGGTCAAAGCCATCAAGAATGGTCATGTCATCTGCAGACAGTTCGAAGTCAAAAACCTCCATGTTCTCCTGAATGTATTCTCGAGTGACTGATTTGGGGATTGTTGCAATCCCTCTCTGAACCTATGAGTATGAAAACCAGCCCAAAGTGCCAAAAAAAAACTTTAAAAATCCTGTGGCATATAACTTCATGTGCCTTTGTCACAGCACAATGAAAGTGGTATTTTAAAAAAAGATAAAGACTTCAAGTTTTATTACCTGCAATTACCGTAACTCAATGTGACTACAAGAATTCATGTGGCAGATATCCAGTGCTACCCAATCTCATGCCATACCCATCGCAGTATGTCTGCTGTTAGGTGGTTCCTTTCGGTCATTTTCAGGATTCGGCTACCATGAAATTAACTGCTTACCATCCAACCGTGAACTGCGCTACACCCTCTCAGAGCGCCATCTTTTAAAGACACGTGATTTGCATATCAGCAGGCAATCTCCACCACGTTGCATGTGCTATGGTAACGTAGCAATATTAATTTAAATACTCCTGTATGTTTCAACCATTTCAATGATGGGGGTGTTGTGGAATTTGAAAAAATCTATTTGTTCCTTAGATTTTGAAAACCAGTGTGTGTATATAAAATAAATCCTTCCACTGCACCTGCCGGTATTGGAAATATGAGGGGGGTTGAACCACATCCCAGACTTCATACTCGCCTAGTTCTGAAGGACACGACGGAAGATGCTGGCCGTGCCCAAGATTGCTGTACGCTGGAGAATATCGAGTGATATTTCACACTCCATCTTCCTGACATGTCTCTTGAGGTCTTTCAGGACGACGCCAGTTGTGCCGATGATGATCGGAACTATGGTGGTCTTCATTCCGCATAACTGTTCTACTTCCACTTTCAGTTCGGAGCAGTGACGTATTTTACGGGGGGAGGGCAGAGGGGGCAGCCGCCCCTCCTGGCGCCCCCTTGGAGGTAAAAATTTCCCCACCTGGTATCGCTCGGGTGGGGTTTGGCACCCCCGCGCTGTTGCCTTGTACCCCACTGACTCCTCAGCCAAAATACGCCACTGGTTCGGAGTATTTCTCCAGCTCCTCCCTGGTCTTCTCTTGGAGGTTATTATCAGCTGGGATGCTCACATCTACGAGGAGGGCGATCTCCTTCTCCTTCTTATATCTGATTGGAAAGAAAGTTCTCGGAATTTCTTGAATATCCAGTACAATTTTTTTCCAGAGCATGCTAGAATGTTCTGCGTGTGTTTATAAGTAGGTCGTGTCCTTCGGCATACAACCGTATATTATTACAGCCCTGGTGCTCTCCAGCCATGAACCAGCCC